TTTCATGGACCGGTCTTCTACAATCCTGTTCAAGAGTTCAACAGAGACTTAACGTGAGTTATTTTCACCTTCTTAATTCAGGGAATGACTCGGCATGTTCGAATGTTCATCGTTTTTGCAGTGTATCAGTCCTTCGCGAGTTTGTTAGGTCTCGGTTAGCAAATGGTTCTACCCTCGAAAGTAAAACATGTTCTGAAGAACCAAAACCTAAGAAATCAAAGCCGCTCTTCGAAAAGGAGGTTTGTTTGTTTACGGGGTAAATTTAGTATTTTTCTGAAGTGCATCTACCTTTATAGGATGGCTCAATCAGAATCCTTGATGCTTTATCGGCCAGTGGTCTGCGAGCTCTACGGTTTTCACAAGAAGTACGGTTTTTCTTAAATATTAGCCACTTTTACTTCGAATGACATGAATAGGAGGAGCATCCCTCAATTCATCTTATTATTCTCATTTAATTCTTCACTGATTTACCGTTAATTTGTGAGTCTGTGTAATTGTTGACTTTTCTGCGATTTCGTTTGAAAAGTAGAATCACCATCAAAGTCGGTTTATGAGTGGCCAGGCAATTTTGCTGTTTCGTGTTTGTTTCCCATCGTCAATCAGAAAAACATGGAAATAAGCTTAATTTGAATATCTCGCAAAGATTTTTGCAGTCGCTAGTCGGTACTTACTAACAGCGGGATCATTGTTAATCGAAACCTTCATCACATGCATATCCTTTAGTGCCTTGGAAACCCGTGGTTCTATTGTTTATAAGTATCACTTCTGAAAACCTCATCTTCTATCTTTATACGGGTTGACTTGTCTATAGCTCCTTGATGGAAGTACACTATTGTTAGGCTCTCACTTAATCCTTACTTTTTTTTCAACCGAATTCAAGCACTTATAGGTGGAAAATGTCGACTTTGTACTGGCCAACGATTTTTCGGAGAACGCTGTCGAATCAATACGAGAAAACATTCGTCTGAATGGTGTTGAGGATAAAGTTCGTGCCACATTTGGTGATGCGGTGTATGTTTAAGCTCTTTATTATGGTAGCAACTAAAGTAGCCTCGCGGTATGCCCCTGCTTATACTCTCGGAAGCAGAAGTAATCATTCCACCTTTCTATATTGGAACAATTCTCACCGCACAGTGTCACCCTCATGTGTTACGACTTCCCTACGAAGGGGTCTCGCAATTCAGTTGGAGGTCGAGCAATGTTATTTTTAGCCTTTTCTCAGGTTCCTGTCAACGCGTCTTATCGACACCCATTTTGAGCTGAATATGCGGAAATTCCTTACGTAGCATGTTGTCCTTCCCAAATAGCTTCTTTGCCTATTTCTTGTCTACTTTTAGGGTAACCATGATGAATCACCGCAATGTTGACAAACGGTTTCATGCAGTTGATCTCGATCCCTATGGGTCAGCTTCCGTATTTCTAGATTCCGGTGTTCAGTGCGTTGCGGACAGAGGTAGTAGTACTTTCGGAAGTCTTCAAGTCGTTCTTCTTTACAAGCCTAGTTAATCGGTAATAGTTCTGTTCTAATCTATACATGGTTAAGGTATACTCATGGTTACTTGCACTGACATGGCGGTTTTATGTGGAAATACCCCGGAGACGTGTTATAATAAATATGGCTCTACGACAGTGCGATTGAAGTGTTGTCATGAAATGGTAGGTTTTGCCACAGATGTTTTGTTTACTTTTTTGGTAGTTTTGTTTACTTGATTTGGGATGTTCTCTTCTTTATTTAAATGGTCGCTATATTAACCTTGATTCAGTTTCAATCTATCTTCATGTTACTTCTTCTTCGTTGAGACCATTAATCGTTCAGGCTCTTCGGATTCTTTTACGGGCCATAGACACTCAGGCCAATAAATACACCCGGTATATTGAGCCGTTGCTGTCTATAAGCGTCGACTTCTATGTGCGAGTGTTTGTCCGGCTACATACAGGAGCCAGAATGACAAAGGAATCTGGAACGTAAGTTTGAAACTCGGTTAGGGATCTTGTAGGGTATTTTTCGTAGGCTCGATTGCCGCCCTGTCACCCTTTTGACTTCATATCTGAAGTAGACCTGAATATTTTCAGCTCTAAATTCTACTTCATTCAGTAAGGTTGGGCACGTACTGGCATGTTCGGGCTGTCACTCTTTGGAAGTTGTACCAATATTGAAGAAAATAGAAGATGGGAAAAGCTTGAAATATAGTACTGGTGTTGTACGGCAGACATTGATGGGTAAGTATCGTCTTCTTTTTCCCAATATTAAAAGGTACATTTATGATGAGACTAGTGTGTTTTGGCCCATTCCCACAATTGCAGTTTTTTTTTGTTTTAATCCGAATTGGAGCATTTTGCTACATTCCGATTTCTAAGGTTTACAGTAATTTGCAGTAATTGATTATGGGCGTGTTACCTCATCATAAATCAGCCGTAACAGATAGGGGCCAAACATCAACTGATATTCCGATTACGCGGCACTTTTTTGACATTCAGTGTACTAGGATATTAGGCTGCTCCCTAAATGTAATGAAATTTTAATATGAAGAATATGTGAACTCTAGGTGGTGATAACAAATGTGTTCACTGTGGTCATCCTGTTCATCAAGCCGGACCCATTTGGACCGGTCCAATACATAATCGTGATTTCGTGGAAGGCATGTTGAAGAGGTATGCGTGCAGTTTTCTTTTTAAATATTCATTATTCTAAATACACTGGCGTATACCGTAACAATAGATCTGAAAGAAAATTCGTGCCCAAAATATAGCTGAAATAGAGACCGAATGCTCCCAACTTTGAGGGTGGAGCTAAGAATATAGTGGTGAGGGTTTCTGGAGACTTGAGAACATACTTAAACACTCCCGCGCGCCTTTTATCAACGTTTTGTTACGTTAGGTTCTTTGTAACTTGATGATTTTTGACATTTTCTAGGTTGAGGGAAACCCCAGAAGAAGAGCGGCTGGGCACCCATAATCGCCTTTTGGGTGTTCTCACCAACGTATCAGAGGTAATTTCTATGCCTGTTATGTCCTATTCTTGTTTTGCCATCCACGTGATTTACAGCCTTGTTTTAAGGAACTCGATGTCCCCTTGTATTATGAGCACGACCAACTATTCAATGTGGTGAAATGCTCAGTTCCTAAATCTGTTGCTGTGAAGTCCGCTATTCTAAATGCAGGTTTCAAGGTGATAACTTAGATTTGTGTGTGGAGTCTGAATTTTCGTTATCAGAAGTTAATTTTATAGGTGTCCGGTTCTCACTGCAATCCTCGAGCCCTGAAGACTGATGCTCCAACACAGTTTTTGTGGGATATTTGTCGATATGCCGTAAGTGACAGTAAGAGAAATTGGTTTTTGCCTACAGTAGCGGATCATTGTGCAGTTTCTGCTTAATTATAATAACTACTCTTTTTTTAATATAGGCCTGCTCTCATTCTCATAATACTAGATATCAACCACTTATCTACAGCTGTCTTTGGCATTAGATTGCTCAACGGATACTGTAATGTTTGAAGTTTTCAGGCACAACAGTCTAATGTAACCGCAGCCCGTCATGATGAGAAGGCCCCGGGAAGAAAAATTCTGTCGGAACCTATTGGGTTGGTTACACTTGATCTTTGTTAAAGAGTGCTTTCACAGAACCCTTATTATCTCAAACTTCTTCGGTGTTTTCTTCTTGGTCTTTATGGTCAACTTGTTTCTATTTATTCTCTTCTCGCTGGTCATTTTTCTTAAGCGAGCCCGGCCTATGGACTACTTTAACTCGGCCCCTTTAATTGTAGCCACCACGCCTATTTTTCTACCTTCGTCTGTCGACTCCCGTTTAATCCGTCTTTAACTGCTGTGCTTGGCTGACTAATGGAACCCACTTCCCTACGATCTTTAATTGGATTTCAATAATTTGTTGAGTTTACAGAAGTGAAGTCAATTTCCGACTTCACCCGAAAGCTACCCAACAAACGAAGGACGATCAGATGGTTCGATTTCAGTGCAACAAGGTGCTCATACTTTTTTGTCCCTTTCTGGACATGACTTATTATCTCAGCGTAGTTATTATGTTTGTTAAGGGGAAGAACTGGGGTCCGAGATCAAAAGCAAGAGGATCCAGCAATTCGACCAATGCTGGTTTTTATGTCAGGCCCGAGTCCACGCAACAAGCGGAGAACTCGTCCGAATAAAACAGGCTGTGAATTTGTTGTGGTATTGTTTATTGTTACTGTTGTGATATATTGTTGTGCCGCATTGTTATTTGTTATTATACGCCATATTCGTCAGCAAAAAACATATACATACAAAGCTGTGAATTTGGTTCGCCTTGAAGCGTTTTATCCAGTGCGCAATCTAATAAATATCGGATAGTAGGACATTTTTTCTACAATTGGGGTACAGTCTCGTCGGAAGGACTGAATAACAGAAACTAGATAAGTAGGTAGACTGGACTAAGTAGTTTTAATAAGTGATAAAGAGTTATTTAGGTTCAACCTCCCTAGTGGTCTGTGGAGGGACGTGTAAACTCGTGGTCGGTATACCAAGTGTAGTTAGCCATGAAATATGAATTATCCAAAACTTATGAGAATTCTGGATTATTGAGAAGAAGTTCTGTGTAGAGGTACGTTCGAGAAGGGGCATTATCTTTATCCTTGTTCATAGCTAGTCGACAAACGAATTCAGAAGTGGAAAAACTAGATAACACTCAACTGATATAAAATAAATCACAACACAAAATGATCACAAGAGATTCAAGTAAACCGTAACAATGGAAAGATCCAATCCTGCAGCATCCTACCGAACGTGAATTATGCCTCTCAGCCACCTTAGCCAAGCTTGCGAACGAAGAGTAAGTAGTAAATAGAAGTAAACTATTATATTGTTAAAGAGGTAATACCCTTTGATTTACGAATTCTTGTGACACTTCCATCGGATAGCGTCTGAGGATGCAGAGGACCGAGGGATCGGGATACGACGATGGGCCATATATACTACATGATTAGTTTTTTACCTAATATTTAAACAGATGCTTAGTGCATCACGGAGTTGAGGCCTATTACGACAGCTCTATTCAAATTTCATTCAAACTTGTTGTGTCAACTATATGCAGAGTACAAAGTCACTATTGTGTGATAATAGAGCAGGCCTGTTTCCTACGATGTGCTTTCGATAGGGCTGGCACGAATTTGTGAACAGGCATGAACGCTTGACGAACAGAAGACCATTATATCGTAGTCATGAATGAATGTCAAGTACGTTGAACGACTTGAACGCTGCTCCTTTACTGTGCGTCATAAATGCATTCATAGTCTTCATGAAGAGTCGAACAAGTAGTCATCAAGAGGTACAGATAGAGATGTGAAGAGTTTTTACGATGATCCTTTTTAGAGGAGCGCCCATTCTATTTCAATTCAAGGTCGTGCAGTCTCTTGAATGAGTATTGGACCTGCAAAAAGGTTGGACAAGGTCGATCAATTGTTTGCATAGTAGTTTTAGTATTTTTGGGCTCAATCCTGTTTGGCTGACATCTGGAGGAGGTACATTGGCTGTTTTAGAACGCGTCTATTCAGCCATACCGCTGTACTATTTTAGTCCCCAATCGCTGTCAGTTGAGAAGCTCACAGGGTAACGGTGGCATTAGGGAGTTGCTGTGAGTTGGTCAGGGTACTAACAAACTGGTAAACCTTCTTCAAAGTCGTGCCATGTGAATATAAAAGCATGATCGTCGATTTGGCACGTCCTCTTAGCGGCCCGAAACTATATGAACGGTTGCTTTCGTTCGTCAAGACGGTCGTGTGCCCCCTTTTGAGCCAGGCGTTCTCTCGGCCTTCTATGCTAACACATCGATTGCTCATCACCTTATCTGTGGCTAGAATTCGGCTGTTGACTTTGGCTGCATTTGGACTGACTCATTGAACTCTTTGCTTCTTTCCCAACTGAACTTTCATAGTGGTACCAGTTTTAACTTTGCTTTTAACTAGGGGATGGTACTAGCGGAATGACGTTGAACGTAGAGCTCAAACCGGTTCTTGTGAGCGTCTGTGACAGCGGGGTTGTGAAGGTATGATCCGAACTGTACTAGATTTGCATATTCAACATTTCCGAACGTTCACTCTGTCAGTTGCAGACCATACAACTTTCGGTATTGGTTACGACCACTGCGTACTCAGATCATTTTAAAAATAAATAACCTTTTTAGGTTTTGCTCTTCAACTGCAAACTGAACGGTTTTCAAACTTCCATTCAGCTTTTCTTCTTCTTGTCAATATTGACTTTACCTGTCGTCGAATTGGAGTAATGCTCGCGTTCTTCGTTCTCCTTGTTAAGGATTCCTACTGGGTCATGGCTATCTTCCATCGTTATTTACTCTATTCCACGTGATTCTCCCCTGATCTCGTATGCCGTCTTCTGCTNTACTGGGTCATGGCTATCTTCCATCGTTATTTACTCTATTCCACGTGATTCTCCCCTGATATCGTTGGCTCGTCTACTGCTGTTCGACCTTGTTTTGACGTCTGAAAGATTTTTCGGAGTCTCCTGACCCCGTCGGTCTTGATGCACGGTTTTTCTATCTTGACTTTCTCACGCCGACATCTGATTGATATGGTGGTTTGGTCTGGGCAGTTACTTTCTCCGAAAAGCATGCCGTGCTTCAGAAATATTCAGGAGGAAAGGGGTTAGCTCCAGGGTGGGAGAAGAGGGGGTCGGGTCAATCCTATAGTGTGAAAGTCAGAGATTGCAGTGTCTTTTCTTCGGGATTTCATTTGGACGCTACTGTTGCTACAACCTACAAGTTGAGAGTACCGATCAATGGTTCTGTTAGTTGCTAACCCTGATTTTCGTTAACAGTTAGAGTTTCAACAGTACGGATGCAGAAGTGGTGGTTGAATAGCTAGAGCTAGACCAACACAATCTGTACGGTTCTCGTGCCTGAAATCGTTGAAGCTGCTCAAGCGATTATAGTACTGGTTTATGACTTGCCCTTTCCATCGCCACAACGATTTCCGACTCTTTCTAACCTCTGGCGGCTGAAATATCAACCTCGGGAAAAGAACCGGTAGTGAAACCAGTTTAGAAAATAAAGTGCAAAGGTTTTGAGCTGGTTTTCTTAACCTGATACCTCCGATTACTGTGACGATTCCCGGTGTCAAGGCTATCTATCGCATGAATGCTGATGGTGTCAGTCAAAAAAGATCAGTGAAAAACGAGAAGTACATTACGCTCGTTCAATGGTTACTGAATCGAGTTCAAGGGCGCCCGGCTTGAAAGAGGATGGTTTGAGTACTTCATGAGTCGTTTACCTCTGTTCATAGGTCGATGTCTGGGCGACGCTTGTCTCTTAGGCAAAATTCATAGATAGGTACCTCGGATTCGGGATTTGTGAGGCTCCTGTTGCCCAGGAAGGATGCTGCTACTTCTCGGCTGAGTGCATTTCGTGATGGCCTGTAGAAATGGAGACGTTAGGTGCTACTTACAACTCAGCGTTCTACTATTGTTTTGAGGATCTTATCAAATAACACCTTATCAGTCTACCCGTTGACAAGAATATTTTGCCCTTCCGTTCTACCCAATCAGATTTGTATGTCGAAATTCAGGGAATAAAAATAAGAAAGCCAAATTGCTCCGCTAGGTCCTCTCGTGCCCTTTTACGAGTCCGTTTTATACCCTAAGGAATTTAACGATGCTGCTCATACCCATATTGTGCTATCGCTGTGGAACCAGTTCTTGTAAAAGTTGCAATTAAAATTCTTCACTTTCTAGATATTTTCGCACCATTTCAGCACCCATTTTCTGGTTATACACATGTATTTTGAAATATTTCTGAATATTTTACTTCGCGCAATTATCTTATATTAGAATTTCGAATGGTTCCATTCCGCAAACTTCTCGCGAAGGAAACCGAATGCAGGTGCTCGGATTCATCCATACATATGCAGGGGTTTGCATCCTTCCAAACTAGCTCTTCATCGTCACCCTCCTCCCTATTTAATATCTACAATACCCTAGATTCGGGGCAGAGGTGTCTAGTGGCAAGAGCCCACTATGACATACGCACGGTCACGGGTTCGAATCCCTGATCGCTATCCACTTAGACCTACCAAGCCTTCAATCCTTTCGCGGTCGGTTACTTGGGTCTAGACTCGCCTGGAAGGGTAAAAGCACTGTGACATGTACATCCGCTGGCCACTGCGAGTCATTGTATAGAAAACATACACATTCATTACGCCACTAAGATTCAGAATGGAAGTCGAGTGCGGGGCGCATCCCTCAGACGAGATTGATCAACGCTCTTGATCCTCCTACCCTTTCGAATTCGTGATTCAGGGCGCAGAATCTTTCTCATTTCCTTCTTGTCATCCATTGCCACCCGCGAATTGGAAATTCAGACGGGAACAGGGAAGTTGTCACCCATGAGAGACGGCAACTCCACTCCATAGATTACAAGGTTATTGCCCGGCAGTCGAACTTGTCTTAACTTTATTTATTTGTTTTCAAGACGGTCTTTTTGTCACTTTCTTCTCCTCTTATGTCTTTTCGATTTGACTGCTTTTCTTTTTTGTCTTATCACGTTTCCCCGTTGAGAAGCAGAAAAGCTACTTAACGTCATCGGCAGGTNTGCCACCCGCGAATTGGAAATTCAGACGGGAACAGGGAAGTTGTCACCCATAAGAGACGACAACTCCACTCCATAGATTACAAGGTTACTGCCCGGCAGTCGAACTTGTCTTAACTTTATTTATTTGTTTTCAAGTCGGTCTTTTTGCAACTTTCTTCTCCTCTTATGTCTTTTCGATCTGACTGCTTTTCTTTTTTGTCTTATCACGTTTCCCCGTTGAGAAGCAGAAAAGCTACTTAACGTCATCGGCAGGTCCTCGTAGGCTCCCTTTTAGGCCTTCAGGTCACACCCTCGAACAATTTCAAATGGAACCATAAACAAGACTCTACAAAAGCCCGAAAAAACTTCCAGATCAATTCCAGACACTTCATCGTTCAACTTTTTATTCCTTGATGACTTATCTTGTGACCCTGTGAACCTTTTTTTGCTCTGAACCAGTGTCATTCAGAGATATCACTCACAAATTTGCGTATATGGAGATTAAAAAGTGATTGGTGACAATTGAGTGAGCAGTTTGTACTCGATGTACCATGAAATAATCACAATCCACAGTCGTCAGTGTGAATAAATCCT